GGGGGGATGGATAGAACAACCTTTTTGGTGGGTAAAGGTCCGCTCTGTATCAAACTCAGAAACTTAGATTTTATGCCGTTAGTCAAGTTGAATCAACTAATTATAAAGGGGTAAGAAGTCAACGTTTTAGACCCCTCCTCCCCCCTTTGAAATTTATGTCAAACTCAGAAACTTAGATTTTATGCCGTTAGTCAAGTTGAATCAACTAATTATAAAGGGGTAAGAAGTCAACGTTTTAGACCCCCCCTCCCCCCTTTGAAATTTATGGCTTCCGGTTGGTTTTCGGTTGAGGCATAAAATAACAATTTTCAACCGACCAAAATCCAAGCATAACTATGGATAAGACGTTCATTTGTTCGCTACAAACCGATGTGGTATACGTGAAGGTTTCTTTTCCTCGAGGTCGCATTTTAGACAAGAATGTGCTAGTTGGACCGCGGGTGCAATGGATGGATGCGATGGTTGCGAAAATTTTCTTCGATTTGCATTTTAAATGTTAGTGCAGCCTTTGTCAGGGGCGGATTGAGGCCGTTTTCTGGGTCTTCCGGAAGACGGTCAGATTTTCAAATTTACACTGACGCGTATCTGATTTTTTCTGTCGGAAGACGGTCAAAAATTGAGAATGGAACAACATTGATAATTTGGAAGACTGTCAGAAAATATCTCTGTTTGTTGTTTGTGAATTTATTAAAAGCGTGTCTAAGATGTATTAGATGCCACTGTAAAAAAGATATTGAGAGGTCTTGCAAGGTACAGCAGTGCAGAAATTGGGCAGTCTTTGGCAATAAGGAGGCGGAATTTGAAAAATGACTTTTTATGCACATAAAGAAAACCAGTAGGCCTACGTAAAATGAGACAATCAAATAACCAAAAATTAGTAAAGCAAATAATTTTCCAGAAGTAATAAATTATTTACTATCGGGAAAAGAAAATTATACTAAAACTAAAAGGAACAAAGTGAATTTACATAAACTGCGGTTATTGCTACGCTGTGGATGCAATTTTCAGACCGCCCACCACTTACCGACCTGTAGACTTAATTAATTCACCCGTGTAAACTGTTTGGTTATTCGGTGCTGTCTTTTTCATGTAAGGGCTCATTTCTATGAACTGTTTTCGTAAGTAAATCCAATTTCGCAGTGACCTCGCTGATTGCAATCAGATCAGGGGCGGATCCAAGACTATTTGAAGGGGGGTTCGCAGATGCGAAGCCGACCCTCCCTCCCCCGTTTAAGCGCCCCCCCCCCCCCCAAAAAA